ACAAGTTATTTCTATTAGTTAGCCAAGTGCAGGCTAAATTTATAAAGTTTATATGTAATGCCTGGCAAATGGTTAAGTGTACAATAAACACCTGGGATAAATGAATGAATCCTAGAACCCTGTTTATGGGGAAGGGATTCTTGACACAGAGAAGTGAGAGATTAGTTGAAGACCGCACAGTTAGGAACCAGTTGGCCAAGATAAGAAGCTACCTGTTCTGATGAATCTCAGTCCATTACTTTTATTTTTAACTTCATTTTTATTTATTGTTATTCCAAAGTAGATATACTATGATGAGATATTTTAAAAAATACAATTATCTTGTCCTCAAAATCCTGATTATTCAGGAGACTAGAAATCTCTTATCATCTACTTTTATTTTGGTTAGAGAAAAAAATATATCAACAATATATTTTGTGAGTTTTCTCAATTTATTTTCAGGCAAACACAAGACATTAATGTATTATTTAGATTTATTTCCTAATTTTAAAATCTGATTCTTTGCAAAATATTCTTCCATGAATCTTTGTCCATTACTTTTCAAATTGTGTCCATTGCTTCTTGAGTTGTTTTTGTATTGTCTTAAAACTATTATACAACTTTTCTCAAGAGTGCAGGAGAAAAATCAGCCATCAATTGATGCTTTTGAACTGTGGTGTTGGAGAAGACTCTTGAGAGTCCCTTGGACTGCAAGGAGATCCAACCAGTCCATCCTAAAGGAAATCAGTCCTGAATATTCATTGGAAGGACTGATGCTGAAGCTGAAACTCCAATACTTTGGCCACGTGATGTGAAGAATCTGGTCAATGGAAAAGACCCTGATGCTGAGAAAGATTGAAGGTGGGAGGGGAAGGGGACGACAGAGGATGGTTGCTGGCATCACCGACACGATGGACTCCTCATGATGGACATGAGGAGGCAGGGAGTTGGTGATGGACAATGTGCTGCAGTCCATGGGGTCACAAAGAGATGGACAAAACTGAGTGACTGAACTGAACTGATCTACCTGCAAAGCTAAAGGATCGGAAGAATTAAATACAGCCTTGAAATACACTTTTGTGAGTAGTCTAATTCTACATTGGATGCCAGAAATCAGAAGTGAGAAGTTATTCAGCAGTTCTGAATACAGTATCCATTTAAAAAACAAAGATAGTTCCTGAATATGGTAGCTATACACATGTGTGTCAGTCCTTTCTGATTTAATCTTGGTGTCTTGGATGTTTGATGGGTTGTAAGAAGTCATGAGAAAGTCTGGCCAAAGCAGAAAGGGAGATCATTCTGACTCAGCACTCACTGCCTCAATACTTCAGCAGGATTTTCTCAGAAAGACATTGCTAAAAATTGACCTAATTTTGAGAGGAAAAAAAATTAAAATATCATTAAAAAAATGCACTAGGATTACTTATAATCAAATATGTGTTGGTTATAAGAGAATATTTTGTAAATTCAAGGAAACTTTAGCATTTAGCCTAATTCTTAATTTAAAAAATACATATTTTTTTTCAGGTTCAATGCCCCCCCCCCCATATTTTCCAAATTCATAGAATTCAAAGTACCAGTAAAAATACTTTGCTTTTCTCTTTTATTTATTTATTTATTTATTTTGCTTTTATCTTTTAAAATGTTACCAAAAAACCAGTTGAATTGAACACCTGGAGCTTCCCCCGTGGCTCAGCGGTAAAGAATCCACTTCCCAAGGCAGAGGCCATGGCTTCGATCTCAGATCTGGGAAGGTGGCACATGCCCTGGGGCGGCTGAGCCTGTGCGCCACGCTCCTGAGCCTGCTCTCTGGAGCCCGGGAGCCACAGCTAGCGGGCCCGCATGCTGCAACTCCTGAAAGCCGGGCGCCCTAGAGCCCGTGGTTCACAACGCGAGAACCCACCGCAGCAAGAAGCTTGTGCACCACAGCGAGAGGGTGGCCCTAGCTCGCCGCAACTAGAGAAAGCCCGTGTGAAGCAACAAAGACCCAGCACAGAAAAATAAAACAGAGAAAGAAAGTCTGAAATGTGAATTGTTTCCACACACACACACACACACACAAATAGGAATTTTAGCAAGGTTTCAGAAATCTCTTGGTTGTAATCCTTGAGAACATCAGTGTATTAAGTTATATTTTAATAGTACTTAATTTTGAAATAGAACACCTGTTACTGTGTTTAAGATGATAACATGAACGTTTGAGAGTAATGACATTGTTTGTCTATTCACTCAACTAATATGTTGTGTCTGACATTGCCAGATTAGTGTATGGAGTAGAAAAACAGATTTCAAATTTGGCCCTCTGTCAATATGGTCAGTTAAACAAGGGAATAAATAAGTAAATCTAACACAATATGATTAGCATAATAGTGAAGCCCAGTTCGAGGCACTGTGGAGGTATAAAGATTCTGAAGAGGAAATGTTTCTTGAGCCACAGAACTTAGACTATTGCTCTGTTTAGAAAAAGTTACTGAGTTGGTTATACTGTAGCTTCTTCTGGGGTGACTATTTTCATTTAATCCTCTGAAGCTAATAGTGGATCTTTAAATATTTGCATTCAAATATTTAATGATATGAGTATCTGCATGAGGCAGATCTAAAACCATCTTTTAAAAGTACTCAGAAAGTGACTTTAGAAGAGGGAGCCTGACGAATGGATAAGGAAGCTGTGGTACATATACCACATGGAATATTACTCAGCCATTAAAAAGAATTCATTTGAATCAGTTCTAATAAGATGGATGAAACTGGAGCCCATCATACAGAGTGAAGTAAGCCAGAAAGATAAAGACCAATACAGTATACTAACGCATATATATGGAGTTTAGAAAGATGGTAACGATAACCCTATATGCAAAACAGAAAAAGAGACACAGATGTACAGAACAGACTTTTGGACTCTGTAGAAGAAGGTGAGGGTGGGATGTTTCGAGAGAACAGCATCAAAACATGTATATTATCTAGGGTGAAACAGATCACCAGCCCAGGTTGGGTGCATGAGACAAGTGCTCGGGCCTAGTGCACTGGGAAGACCCAGAGGGATGGGGTGGAGAGGGAGGTGGGAGGGGGGATCAGGATGGGGAACACATGTAAATCCATGGCTGATTCATGTCAGTGTATGACAAAAACCACTACAATATTGTAAAGTAATTAGCCTCCAACTAATAAAAATAAATGGAAAAAAAAAAAAAAAGAAGAGGGAGCCTGAGTTTGGAAAGGCCTGAAATGTGATCTGTGGCTCTTCACCCAGAGTCCACCTGTCACAGGTGGTAAAGGGCAGGGTGAGAAGCTTGGCATTTGGAGCCTGTCTCCTTGGGGTCAAGAGTCAGCTCTGTTAATTACTGACTTTGTTCCCCTAGACAAATTAATCCATAAAACTTACTTCGTTTTCTTCATTTGAACAAATGTGGGTAAAAACAACATCTACCTTTATAGGGTTGTGTTAAAAATTGAGTTTATTCTTATAATTTAGAGCAGTTTAGAACAGTTCCTGACACATAAGGGCTCAATAAGTGGTAAGTTATTAATACTATTATTACTATATAACAATTATAATTACTGTATGATTATTACATATGATAAAAAACAAGTATTAAGTTTTTAACCCAACATTCTTCATGAACATATATTTAAAAACAAACAAAACAACTAAATGCTATATAACCTGCCTAGATGTCTTTACCATCTAGACCACTTGTGAAGATCTGGTTAGAATGGAGGTCACTTGAAGTGGTAGATCTCATTGGCATGCTCATGTTGTAGGAGAAGATTGGGTTGTATTATTACAATATATTTTTCATGACAGTAAACAATGGATAAAGATTTCAGAGGGCTTCCCTGATAGCTCAGTTGGTAAAGAATCTGCCTGCAATGCAGGAGACCCCAGTTCAATTCCTGAGTTGGGAAGATCCCCTGGAGAAGGGATAGGCTACCCACTCCATAATGCTTGGGCTTCCCTTGCAGCTCAGCTGGTAAAGAATCCACCTTGTATGCAGGAGACCTGGGTTTGATCCCTGGGTTGGGAAGATCCCTTGGAGAAGGGAAAGTCTACCCATTCCAGTATTCTGATCTGGAGAATTCCATGGACTGTATAGCTCCATTCTGATCTGGAGAATTCCATGGACTGTATAGTCCATGGGGTTGCAAAGAGTCAGACATGACTGAGCGGCTTTCACTGTCAAAGATTTTGGAAGTAACAGGCAAGAGTTGAGCTTAAATACATAGGTCACTGAACATATTCCTGATGCTTCTCTTGATTGAACTATGCAAGGGTCTGCTCCTTTGAAGTGAATTTGGACTAGGATTTTAATTAAAAAATCCAATTGCTACTGACCCTCCTGAGTCAGTCTCCAACAAGCTTCCTTCTGCCCGGTGTGTTGTTTGAGCCCAAAGGAGGAGACTGAGTTCAGTTGAGAGGGAAAGGAAGGCTTCGTTCCTTGATTTTGAACGAAAACATGCTTGCGAGCTCCTGCTCTAGAGCAGTGGTCTCCAACCTTTTTGGCACCAGGAACTGGTTTTGTGAAAGATAATTTTTCCACAGACCAGGGAGTGGGGATGGTTTCGGGATAATTCAAGCGCATTATATTTATTGTGCACTTATTTCTATTACTCTGACATCAGCTTCACCTCAGATTATCAGGCATTATTAGATCCCAGACGTTGGGGATCCCTGCTCCGGGGCACAGTTTTTCCATGTGGCACTTGTGGTAAAGAACCGGTCTGCCAAGGCAGGAGGCAGAGATGCTGGTTCGTTGCCTGGGTTGAAATGGCAACCCACTCTGGTATTCTTATCTGGAGACTCCCACGGACAGAGGAACCTGGCAGGGTTGCAAAGAACCAGGCAGGAATGAAGCGACTTAGCGCACATGCTCGACAGCCCACTGTCCCTCTCCCACCGACGAGGCCGTGGGCGGGGCGGCTTCCGAGGGATCTCCTCAGAGTGCCCCTGAGTCGGGGCGCCTGTGCGGCTCCGGCTCCAGACGGCGGGACAGGCGCAGCCTCTCCGCGCGCGGCCGCCGCCATCTTAAGTTGAGGGCCTGTGGTGTCTGGTTTCCTCAAGGACGTCCCGTCTGAAGCGTTGAGATGGAGGCCTCTGCCCGCGGCACCCTTCGAACAAGTGAAACTAGCACTAAAGAGAAGGTTAGACTTTATTTTATGACTCAGATTCTGTTTTTATTTCCTGGGAATTTTTAATGGGCTCCGCTGATGACTATCTGGGATAGATCTATGATGACCTGGCTGAGGAGAAGGGAGTAAGATAACTACAATCTGAATCTTTACGGGACAGATATCAGTAATCTACGCAAGGTGAATTTCATCTGAATATGTCTGTGAGGAAAGAATGAGGGCGGGGTTGGTGCTGAAGGTTGGACAGATTCATGTGAGGAATGACCCAAATGAGGAAAATATTAATGTGTTTTAGTGTTCTACAGAGATTAGTTCGATCAGTTACTAGCAACGAATTTTACCTAATTTCCCTGATATTTAGCTTCCTCATATGTAAGACGGGTGCAGTATTTCCACATTTAAGATTGTTATGAGGACTAAATGTACCAAAGCATGCAATAGAGGACAATATGAATTCCTGTTAAGCATCAGATCTTTTCCTCAGTCTGGGAATTTCAGATAACTTGCTACTGCCATTTGAGAGGAAAGCTGCTCTAGGAAAATAGGAACTGATTCCTACTCGAAGGTGCTCCTTCCTTCTAACCTTCCACCGTGCTTTCTATAATTCCATATCTGGTAGGCTAGATTTCCCTTCTCTCTAGATAATTTTTTTTCTTGCTAATCCATCATTCTAGAAAATATTAGGGAAGGAAGTGTGCAGTTCTAGCACCCCCAAATCAGTCTAACTTATATCTCTTTTTAATGTATTTTAATAAAGTATAAATATTAAATCATTGAATGTGATTGTCAGTGGGAAGGAGGAGAAAAAGAACCAAATAGAAGCACATGGAGAGGGAGAGAAGAATTTGGTAGCCTCTGAATTGCAGCCTCTGCTGATGCAGACAAATGGGGGCTGCCAATGTGCTGTGTTTTGCAGAGTCCTGGAGCGCTGCCAGCCATTATGCCCCTTAATATTTAATATGCGTTTGTACAGAAATACCACATAAGTATGAGAGATGTTAATTGCTCATAACATTTTAATATTTTTAAAATTTAGCAGGCTGTTAGTCATAAAATAAAGAATGCGGTTTTGCTAAGTTGAGATTTTAATGTTCAGCTCTTAAATTTTTCTGAGAGAGGTTTTCTATGAAAAGTTCATAATAAATACTTTGTACTTGCACCATGCCTCACTCTAGGGAGATCAAAGTCCTGATCAGAAATTTACTGAGACCCGGGAAGGATTCCAGGCTCTTCTGTACTCTGCTCAGCTCTCTTGGAAACGCTGCTCCTAGCAGTAGGTCTGACCTATGGGGAAAGTGTCTCTTTTATGTACCATAAGCTTCTTGAGTTCTTCTCAGGTACTTAGCTCTGTGGAAACCATCTCAAATCCTGAGATTCACTGCCTCACTAGTTATAGCACAATCACTGAGTAATTTTTTTTCATGTTTTTGTTACAGTTTCTTTGAAAAATCAGTTTTAGTTTAGAGAGAGTTATGCAAAAATATCTGTACAAAAGTACTAAATAATTTCTAGTAGTAAATAACCTCTTAGGATTCCACTGGAGAAGTGATACCTGAAGATAAACAATGAGAGAATGTATTTTAATACAAAAGTCTTATGTAACCAGACTTCTCTGATCATTCACAGTATATGTAGTCCATGTTCCGTAATTCTGTGTTCTTTTAATGAAATGTGTTATCCTTGCTTTTAGTGTGTTTCTTCTTTTCATTGCTGTGAAGGCTTATTCTTTTATCATATATTTAAAAGTAACTTCCTCTGAGAAGTTTTTCCATACCATAGGCTGCCTGTAGGCTCAATTTGTTATTTATTCCAGTCTAAATGTTTCCTCAAGTCTGGTAGCCCTTATCCATGGCACTGTAATTATTTTTATATATGTTTATCTCTCTCACAGTGCTATGAACCCTTTGAAGAGAGATAATTTGTCTTACAGTTTCCTACTAGTGTTTGTCTGATGTAGAGCTGGATGTATATAAAATATTTAGAAAGGTTTTCAGAATGCATAGGTTCTGTAAATGACCAAAAGAATATATAAAATTTAAAACTACAAAAGATGTTCCATTTCAAATAGGCTCCTCTCTGCTTGCTGCAGATTAGCTCACTTCAGGTGGCTTTTTATTGTTAGTGCTTTATTAAATTGTTTCCTTTATTAACTTTAAATGAACATTAGAGAAAGAATTAGGAAAAAAGAAATAACCTGCAGCCTTAAATAAAGTTAGACAAAAAATAATTGTGGAGTTAGCTTTCTAACATGAATTTGCTTTGTTAAGTGAAAAATTGGGTGTGTTTAAACAGAAAAGAAATGCTTGCTTATGAAGGGCAACAAGGTGGCTCAATTTCTGGAAATTTCTGCAGATATATTAAATGTAATTCTTTGCAGTTTCATCCCTAAGGTGATTTTGTCACTTGTTTGCTCTTGTGTGTTAAATTCAACTCTTCATTTTGTATTTCATTTTGTCTGCTTGAAATTTCAGAGCACACACTCTAATCTTCAAGAGAATGTGGGTATAACTTTCTCATTCTCCCTTACTCTGTAGAACCTTGAGGCAGTTTTTCAACAAAATTGTCCAGTGAATTGCTGTAGACCACAGAGCAAGTAAATTGTAATGAAGTGAAGCAAGTTCAGGTGTCTCACTTCCTTGGATTCCCATTCTAGTGTATAAAGATGAAAATGTTCTAAGACCATATATTTCATAATGATCTATAAAAGAGTGTAGAAATTCTAAGGTAATGTGAACCTCCATAAGGAAACAAAGATATGTATAAATAATAGAACCTTAATACAACAAATCTGGAATGAAGAGCTTTAAAAATGTTCACCTTCACTAATTCCATTCCTGAGACTCTCTTTTTTTTTTTAATTTAGAGTATTTATTTATATGCTTTTTTTGTATAATGTTTTACAATTTTATTTTATTTTTTTGAAGAAATAATAAAAAGTACAAAGACTTACACTGAAGGATCTCACACCATTATCTCAGTAAAAAATCAAAACTATTAAATGTTCAACAATGTAGACTGGGTAGATCAATCATAGTATGTCTTTATAGTGAATTATAAAACAAAAATTCAAGTGTTGGTAGATTTTTATAAAGACATTGGAGAATGCCCACAACATGAAAAAAGTGGAGAATAAGCCATTTCTAAAGCATAATCTAATTATTTAAGCAAAAAGTGTGTACACACATGCACACATATATATTAGAATAAAAAGTAAAAATAATAAAGAAATGACAACTGTATTTTTTCAATATTCTATAATGAGCATATATTGCTTCAAAATTTTTTCAAAAAAGAATTTTGAAAGATACCACCTTAAAGGTTAACAGTTTTTTATTCAGAGTTTATTGCAGAAAGTTACTTTTCAGTGTAGCTTCAGAGTGTTATAAATGATACCTTGCTTCATGGTGTCCTGAAAAATGCAAATAGATCTCATTTGATGGTCACAGGCTGTGTATCAGAGTAACTTCGGTAGAGATAAGCTTTTAAAGAATATTTATTCTTGCTAGAGACTCATCTCCAGCCTATTACATAAGTATATCCAGGACTGTGGATATAGATTTCAGTATTAATATATTTTATAAAACTTTCTCCAGGTAATTCAGATACATGTCACTGATTATATTTGCTACTTTGGTTATAAATAAAAAGACTAAATCTGAATTAAGCGTAGTAAAGAAGAGGTAAGCATGATGAGAAGGAAGCATTTAACTTCTGGTGGAAAGGATAAGTGAGGTACTCACAGTTCTTTGGAGAGGGAGATAATCATTGAAAAACCTGCATGTTATAATAAATATAGAATAATAGTGATTTACTACTTTCTTTTCAAGTTTTTTTTAATTGAAGGATAATTGCTTTGCAGAACTTTGTTGTTTTCTCTCAAACCTCATGACGGTGGGCAGAAGAGGAATGAATAGATGTGCAAGTGGGTGTGTATCTTCTTTTGTGAAAAATCTTTTTAAGTTAATTGCCTTTTTATTTTCCATTTGGTTTGTGTTTTCCTTATTGATTTTTAGGAGTGCTTTATATATTCTCTATATGAGTTCCTTATTAGCTATGTTACAAATATTTCTTCACCTTAGTTTTGCCTATGTATTTTAAAATAAACATATGTCAAGAATTATTATTCAACATATGAATGAAGTAACCAGTGAGAATTTTTAAGTGGTTCATATGAGAATTTGAATTATAAAGATTTATAATCTCTACTAAAGAAAATTGACTTATATTGTTATGAATAGGGATTATTTTATTGCTAGGAATCCTTTGCCTCACTATCAGTTTTCTGCAACTTAATCATTACCACTATAAAGTTATAAAATTGCCTAGTCAATAGAAAGTTAATGAAAGGTGCATGCTCCTATAGAATCAGATAATTAGAGGGTTCACTAGGCAGTGCCTAGCACTCCACTGAAAGGACTCTAGGTACACACTTTTATTTATCTCCAAGTCTTGGGGTCTTTTTTTCTCCTGACAATATTCCTCCCTCTAGTCACCTGTGACTATAGATAATCTCTAAAGCTTATTCTTGATCACAAAAATGTCTAGTCTCGTTAGATCTGGTTTAATTCCTTATTAAGATGCATCAATAAAAGTGAAAGTCACTCAGTTATGTCCAACTCTTTGCGACCCTATTGAATTCTTCCTTCTCCAGGGGATCTTCCCAACCCAGGGATTGAACCCAGGTCTCCTGCACTGCAGGTGGATTCTTTACCAGCTGAGCTGCAAGGGAAGCCCAGAATTCTCCAGGCCAGGATACTGGAGTGGGTAGCCTTTCCCTTCTCTAGGGGCTCTTCCCACCCCAGGAATCTAACTGATAACTGAGCTATCATTGTTAATCAATTATATATGTTTTATTGCATTTTCTTTGCAAATCTTGAGCCATACAGTATAGACCAACTAAGTCTAAAGGATTGACTTTAGCCTAAAATATTGATTAGGAGTTTTGGATTGGGATTTTTACATCCTTTTCTATTTGTCTTACTTCACTTAATATGGTAATCTTTGGGTCCATTCATATTGCTGCAAATGACATCATCTCATTTTTTTTCATGGTTGAGTAATATTCCATCATATGTTTTTTTATCCGTGCATCTGTTGATGGACATTCAGGTTGCTTTCATGTCTTGGCTATTGTAAATAGTGCTGCTGTGAACATGGAGCTGCAGGAATCTTTTTAAATTAGAGTTTTATCTGGATATACATCCAAGAGTGGGCTTCTCAGGTGGCGTTAGTGGTAAACAGCCTGCCCACCAGTGTAGGAGACATAAGAGACACAGGTTCGATCCCTGGGTTGGGAAGATCCCCTAGAGGAGGGCATGGCGACCCACTCCAGTATTGTTGCCTAAAGAATCCCAGGGACAGAGGAACATGGCAGGCTACAGTCCACGAGGTCACAAAGAGTTGTACACAACTGAAGCGACTTAGCACATGCCCAAGAGCAGGATTGTAGGATCGTACACTAAGTCTATTTTTAGTTTTTTTTTTTAAGGAAACTCCATACTGTTCTCCATAGTGACGGACCAATTTGCCTTCCCACATATAGTATAGGAGGGTTTCCTTTTTTTCCATCCCCTTTCCAGCATTTGTTAACTGTAGACTTTTTAATGATGGTCATTCTGACTATTGTGGGATGATATCTCACTGTAGTTTTGATGTGTATTTCTCTAATAACTTGCAATACTAAGCATCTTTTCATGTGCTTTCAGGTCATCTGTTTGTCTGCTTTGGAGAAATGTCTATTTAGATCTTCTGTCCATTTTTTTGATTGGGTTATTTGCTTGTTTGTTTTGATATTAAGCTGTATGATCTTTTTGTTACATTAAAGATTTTATTTTACATATTTAACATTTTTGATGCTAACTTCTGTTTCTCAGGGAAAATCAAATGAATGGGCATCCCTTGTAGCTCAGTTGGTAAAGAATCCACCAGAAATGTGGGAGACCTGGGGTTGATCCCTGGGTTGGGAAGATCCCTTGGAGAAGGAAATGGCTACCCACTCTAGTATTCTGGCCTAGAGAATTCCATGGACTGTATAGTCCATGGGGTCGCAAAGAGTTGGACATGACTGAGTGACTTTCACTTTCTATTTCTCAGGGAAAACTGAATGGTAGATAATTGAGAACTGTATGTAACATAGAAGAATTTTTAACAGTACTAAAGTACATGAATAAAGGAAAAAAAACTTTATATTCCTTTAAACCTTAAAGTGTAAAAATAAACCTATTTATGAAGTACTCCAAAAGATAAAGCTACTATATGGCATATAATAATAGGCAAATGCATATAAATAAATAATTATCCTTAGTGATAAGTGGAAAGTAATCAGTCCTTTATAGAAATCATCTAGGTACCCAATAATTAATATTGGATTATAAATGGGTAACTTCAAGATAATATTAGTATAAGTTATTATGATACCTAAAGATCTTGAAAATTATGGTTTAGCTGACACTAGAAAACCTAGTTACTATTGGTATAAAAATGATGAAACTTACAATTTAATTTAATTGAACAAAATTTTATATAAATGTTATTTGAAGATTCAGCATTGATATAAATCATCTGAGGAACAAATGACAAGATGGCACTGGTCATTCATGAGATTTATTGGAAAATTTCCCCTTGTGATAAAAAATGAGAAGGGAGCTGGAAGAGGCTGGATGAATATCTGATTGTGATACATCTAACCCTGTGAAGGAGAAAAGGAAAGAAGGAAGGAAGGAAGAAAGCCTTAGATTGCAGTGCAGTTTTGTGAATGTTTTGGCAAGGCCAATGTAGAGTCTTTGTGCCAAAATAGTCTGTCCTAGGTGTCCTAGATCACTGGAATGGGTTTGCTTTAGCATCTGTTCTGTGCTAAGTCATTGGCTGGGATCAGCTCAGTTGCAGCATGCCCTTGGTGAGGATGCAGTGATGTAAATTCAAAGCATAGCAGCTGAGGGTAGCAGTCAATTGGAGTCCCTACAGTTGGAGGTTAGAGTGGTACATTTTTTTTATGACTGTCATAGTCTGTCCCTTACATCGCACAGATCTGCTTCTCCATACGAGATTAGGGATTAGCTACTCCATGATTCCCACGGGCTTATCTTCCTGAGAGGACATTAAGCAGGTTAGTGAGATAAAGTGAAGCTGCTCAGTCGTGTCCAACTCTTTGCGACCCCATGGACTGTAGCCTACCAGGTTCCTCCATCCGGTGGATTTTCCAGGCAAGAGTACTGGAGTGGGTTGCTGTTTCCTTCTCCAGGGGATCTTCCCGACCCAGGGACGGTACCCAGGTCTCCCGCGTTGCAGGTAGGCGCTTTACTGTCTGAGCTACCAGAGAAGCCCTAGCGAGATAAGGTACAGTCTAGTAGTTGCAGTTGATATTGGGGCTAAAACTATTTCCTCTCCGCATTCCAAATTCCCCTGATCCTCTGCCTTTACCTTGTTGGCTCTTAGTGGCTTACCTGGGAGTGTGACCCGAATCTCCTTTCAGAGGGCTCTGAAACTCCAGTAATTATTTCCAGGCTAGTGTTGCTGCTTATATTCATTTATTGCTGCAATGGACAAAAAGTACCAGTTGGCATCCAAGTGGCTGACTTGGATTCCACATGTATTCCTCCCTCTCTCCATTGTGCAAAACCATCTCTGTTCCTCCTGTTGATCATGGTTAACTATCCAGGACAATATGGTAGTAACTCCTCGCTTGCTGGTCCCTGGACACAATTCCAGAATGCCTAGCAGCAGCTCTAACTTGTAGTTCATTGGAACCCTTGCTCTGTCCATTGGCAAGATTATGTCCCTATGCTATCAATCGATAGCTTCATGTATTTTGATGTTGTGTTATTAGGTGTATATAGCATTAAGATTATTTTTTCCTGATAAAATGACTTTCATCTCTACAAAATGACCTATTTTTCTCTGGTAACACTTGTTTTAAAGTCTATTTTGTATTAATATATTCATATGGCTACTTCTCTTTTCTTAAATGATTGTTATATCTTTTCCTTTTACTCTATTTATATCTTTAAATTAAAAACATGTCTCTTGGAAACAACATTCAGTTGCTTCTTGATTTTTAATCCAATGTAACAATGTGTGACTATTAGTTGGAATATTTTGTCTATTGACATTTAACATATACATCAGTATGATTTTGGTATATCTATCATCATCCTATTTATTTTCTATTTATATAGTCAGTTCTTTGTTACTTGAATTTCCTGCCTTTTTAAGAATTTTGTTCCAGATTTTGTGCATAAAAATGTAAGACTGAAGTATCATATCATCTATTCTGTAGTCTAGAGAGGTGAATTCTTTCCCTGTGTTGAGTTGAGACTAGGTCACAGCTTTTATTAGATTGGGTTCATTCTGTTTAAATCTAATAAATATTTGAGCTGGGAGTGAGTTGGCTGCAGCTCCACATATGTTGGTTAATCTTTGGATTCTATGCTGGTGGGACTCAGCAGTCCAGTAATCATGAAAATGCATGGATTACATTTCTAGTCCTTTATCCACTGAAACTTTATTTGCAACATTTTGAGGAAAGAATTTGTTGGAGAGAATTGTCAGGCTCAGCAATTTGTTCTCATACTTAGGACTTTTCTATACTCCAGTTCATTTGATACTATCATCCAGGGCTTATCTGACCTCTCCCATTCCCATATCATTGCTTCATCTTTAGCATCTGTCTCCTTAGCTGTGCGTATGTGCTTAGTCATTTCTGACTCTGTGATCCCCTGGACTAGAGCCCACCAGTCTTCTCTGTCCATGGACTTTTCCAGGCAAGAATATTGGAGTGGGTTTTCATTTCATCATGCAGGGGATCTTCCCAACTGAGGGACTGAAACTGTGTCTCTTGCCTTTTCTGCATTGCCGGCCTAATTCTTTACCACTGTGCCACCTAGGCTTCAGCTGCACCTAGACTATATACCTGCCTCTAGATATGGAG